AAAAAAAAAAAAAAGAAAAGAAAAGAAAAACTAGCTGGGGGTTATGGTGGGCTCCTGCAGTCCCAGCTACTTGGGAGGCTGAGGCAAGAAGATCTCTTGAACCTAAGAGTTTGAGGTTACTGTGAGCTAGGACAGCAAGGCACTATATCCAGGGTGATACCCTGTCTCCAAAAACAAAACAAGCAAACAACCCCCCCCCCCATTTCCAATGTGAAAGTAATAAGCTCTATATGTGTGGCCTACATGGATAGAATAATGACTGAATACTATTAGTTAAGCTTCTGCTTATGGAAAATACAGAAAATAAGCATACTCACCTTCCTAGTCTGTGACCCTGTCCTGAAAAGGGCTGAAATACAGGTTTTGTAGATGCACATATTTCATTTTTTTTATCTTCAACTTTAGCATCCACCTCCTCTTTATCAAAAATTCCCTGTAATTCTGAAGGTAATTCCCTTAAAAGGTAAAGAAAAAAATAATAAAGCTCTCAATGACTTCTTTCCCCCTGAAAATACTCTGTATGCAGAAAGAACTGGTTAACATATCAAAATATAATACATAGAAATAAACATATAACATGCTCAACATTGGGCTCAATGCCTGTAACACAGTGGTTACTGGACCAGCCACATGCACTGAGGCTGGCAGGTTTGAATTTGGCCCGGGCCTGCTAAACAATAATGACAATTGCAACAACAACAACAATAACAAAAAACAGCCAGGCATTATGGTGGGCACCTGTAGGCCCAGCTACTCGGGAGGCTAAGGTAAGAGAATCGCTTAAGCTCAAGAGTTTGAGGTTGCTGTGAGCTATGCACCATGGCAATATCCTGAGGGTAACAAGGTGAGACTGTCTCAAAAAATAAAATAAAAATAAAAAAATGAAAAAATTTTTAAAAAGGTCAGGTCCAGGGGCTCACACCTGTAATCCTAGCACTTTGAGAGGCCAAGGTAGGCAGACTGCTTCAGTTTATGATTTTGAGATCAGCCTGAGCAAAAGTGAGACCCCATGTCTAATTAAAATAGAAAAACTATGTCCAGGCGAGATGGCTCACCCCTTTTAATCTTCACGGTCTGGGAAGCCGAGGTAGGCAGAGTGCCTGAGCTCGGGAGTTCAAGACCAGCTTGAGCAAGAGCAAGACCCCATCTCTAAAAATAGCCAGGTGTTGTGGGCACCTCTAGTCCCAGCTGCTTGGGAGGCTGAGGCAAGAGGAAGACTAGAGCCCCGCGAGGGGAAATGTTAAATGGTGCAGCCAATTTGGTATATAGTTTGGCAATTCTTCATAAAGTTAAACATAAAGTTAATAATTCTGCTCCTGGCTCGGCGCCTATAGCTCAACCGGCTAAGGCGCCAGCCACATACAC